TTCTTTCTTTCTTTATTTCTTCCTTTATTTATTTATTTATTTATTTCTCACTCATTGATTTTTAGTAGCAATCTTTTATTTTTCTTTCTTTCCTTTTTCTTCTTTCTTTCCTTCTTTCTTTCTTTCTTTCTTTTATTCTTCCTCACTTCCTTCTGTTCATTTTCTTAATTTACTTACTTTTTAATTTAATTCTTTCTTTCTTTCTTTCTTTCTTTCTTTCTTTCTTTCTTTCACACTCATTGAATTTTTTATTCCCAATCGTTTAATTTTCTTCTTTCCTTCTTTCTTCCTTCTATCCTTCTTTTCTTCTTTTTTTCTTTCTTTCTTTCTTTCTTTCTTTCTTTCTTTCCCAGTCATTTAAGTTTCCTTTCTTTCTTTTCTGAATTACTTACAGAGACTGTTATGCCGGAAGTGCTTAAAATATTGAACGATTTCTTTTAATAACTGATAATGTATAAATTTCACTCCAATCAAGGCGATAATACTCCTAAGACGCCGGGGTTACAGGGGGGGTGCGAAAGTGAATCAGAACACTTTAACGAGAAGTGCTGAAAGGGCAATAAACGAACAGGGTTCAGGAAGATAGATGACGACGATTGAGGTTGCGTTTAAATTTTTGAAGATTGTAGTTGACCGGGAAGCAAGAAATCGGAAGGGAGTTCCATGAGTGATAAATACAAGAAAGGATAACATCAGAATAGAAATAGCGGTTGCATCTACTTTGTTCAACAGTAAAAGGTTGAGACCTAGTTGGCAATCGAGTCTTCTTCTTTTATGCACTGTGTCCATTCAAGACTTAGGCGTTCATGGCCCTCCACCTCCTCCTGTCCTTTGTAGCTCTTAATAAGTTTTGTCTTTTTGTTATTTCTCTCAGATCCTGTTCCGCCATCCATTTACTCAAGCCCATTAAGTATGTCACGCGTTGCTTTCCTTTGTCCCTCTTCTCCTTTATCCGTCCTGTGAGTATCAGATTTTCCAAGCCCTCCTTCCTCATTTTGTGTCCCAGAAATTTCACCTGTCTCTTCTTGATGTTAAGTATAAGTTTCTTCTTTGTCTCCAGTCTCTCCAAAATCTCGTCGTTGCTCATATGTTCGGGTTATGGTATCCTCAGTATCCTACTGTAGAACCAAATTTCTGTTGCTTTGAGTGCCTTCTTCATCTTTAAGGAGATTGTCCAGAATTCGCTGCCATACAGGAAGACAGATATCACGTAGCAGTTCACTACTCTTTTCTTTACTTCCAACGAAATTTTCCTTTCACGTAATACTCTGCTTAGCTTTTGGAAGGCATCTTTTGCCATTCCAATACCTCTTCGGATCTCAGTGTCGCGCATTCCGTCCTCTGTCAGAACACTTCCAAGATATTTAAATTTCTGTACCTGATTGATTTTAGTGTCCCCAAACTGTAAATCGCATTTTAGGGTCATTTATTTTGCTGATGACCCTGCATTCTGTCTTCTTGTAGTTTATACTTAGTCCCTTCTTCTTGCTCTCCTTCATTACCTTCTGTAGGAGGTTTTGCAATTTCCTTTCCGTGTCTCCTATCAACACTGTGTCATCGACATATCTTGTGCTGTTAAGATTATGACCGGCAATGATGAATCCTATTAGGATTTCCAGTTGTCTCAGAATTGTATCGTTGTATAGATTGAAAATTGTTATGGAGTGATTTCACACAAAACGTTAGGAACTTGATATAATAGGTAATGACGCAGAGAAATCTAGTGGTGGTGGCTGATACTTTAATATCCGACTAACTGTCGTCGGACATCGACTGACTGACTGACTAACTAACTGAGCGACCCCTCGTTACTAATACTACTCCTACTTATTATATGTGGGAGATTCTATTAACTATAGAATAGGTGTGTTCCACTATAACAAAAATGTCCGGCGAGAAGATACATCCTTGCCTTACACCCCATTTTATTTTTGTATATCTGCTGAACTCATTTTTTTTTTATCCATATGCAGGCGGCTTGCTGCCAGTAGAGATTTTTGATTATTCTGATGTCTTTCCCGAAAGAGCTCATTAGAACAGTTGCTATAAAAAATATTTGTAAAAAAAAGACAGAGGAAAGCCATCTCACGTTGGTGAGAAAGTGAATGAAGTCGAGATGCCACATCAGGATCCATTATATTACAGGCTGGATGTTGTCAAGAATGGCGAGATGTGCAGCAGGAGACCAGATATGGCAACAGTATTCAATGCGGGGACGGAAAGATTCTGGCGTGAAAACTTTCTTGATACGACACATTGAACCGACTTTCCTAGCTATAGGCCTAGCAATTGATTCGATATAATCCCTCCACTTTATATCAGTGGAAAGCGTGAGCTCAAGAAGGTGTAGAAAGTTGCTTTCCTGGTGGCAGACAGAAAACGTTTTCTGTGGTGATTAAATGAAAGCTGTTTTCTTTTGGAGGCGTTAAAACTTACAAGCCATTTCTTGCCCCAGTTAACCACTGTTGTTCATGATGACGGTCGTCTTTGAGTATAGAATCCGGAGGTTAGAAGTGAATATTTCGAAGACAGTAGGGAAGCGTTGTTCAGTTTAGCAGTGGATATCCCGATAAAGTAGCAGAGCATAGTTCAGTAATTCTTTCTTCTGTTCTTTCGCCTGACAAGTTGGCACTGGACATTCGGAGAGAGTAAACAAAATGGTCGCCTTTATACACGACGGATTGAATATTTTACGTCTTCTGATTGGTTAACCTTCTATTGGGGGACTATAAAGTGAGTCAAGTCATTTGGGCTAGCTCACTAGTAAACATATATACACAAAAAAAACAACCACTGACTGGTGAAACTTTTCGAGAACAGTTGCCAGGTTTACTTTGTCGGGTCTGTCGGACTTGCTACTACTAGGACATTTGGTTCACTGTGTCGCGGCAGACAATTTTTCTTGTCCGAAACCATCTTTCATATTTAATAAATCTATCGTACGTCCGTGCATTGTATATTTTATTGCCATAACTGGTCTGGTGCGCTTGCTATAAATCTTGGGATTCTCGACAAAAATTCAAAGGAGAGTTTTTAAGGCAATCGTTCCTGACCTGGCGTTTCGGGTTCAACCCCTTTCCCACCGTCGTAACGTAGCTTCCCTGTGCCTTTTCTATAAATATTTTCGTGGCAATTGTTCTGATAACCTCTCCGCCTTGGTACCTCGACCTCATGAATTTAAGCGTACTACATTTAAAATTAAAAATTTAAATCTACATGGCACTTTACTCCAATTAGCTCATTCGCTTGCTTAAATTCAACGTTGATTCTGATTCCGCAGAACTGGGTTGGGCGTGAAAAAGTATTTTTTGTTAACATTCTTTTTTCATTCGGTTTTTCCATTTTACTGTTAAATTAGCTCAGTGCAACCGTAAGTTCTATCCTAATATTTTCTTCACGTGCACTTCTCGCCTGTGGGACGTTCTTCCGGCTTCTTGCTTCGCTGCCACTTATAATCTTCAAAAATGTTAAATCAACGTCTATCGCCATCTCCTGTCTTCTTAATACCTCTTCTTTTATTGTCCTTTTCTCTTCGCTAGAGTTTTCTCGTTCTCTTCCACTCCTAGTAACCCTCTGCGTCTTAGTGACATTATCACCTTGTTTGGGGGTGAAATGATTAAAAAGACATATCTTATGCTCATCTTCATTATGGTAATTACAACTTTCTGGTCGTCTTACCCTCCCTCCGGCTTTTAAATCCAAAGGTGCATAGAATCAATAAAAGATGCCTTTCGGAAACTAAGCAAAGTATTCAGATGTAGGAAACACTCTTTAGAAACAAAGAAAGGATAGCTGAACTGCTATGCCATATCTAATCTCCTGAGCAGCAGTGAATGCTGGACAATCTATTTACAGAAGAAGAAGACGGAAACGGGAGAGACGTGATTCTACCGACAAACAACGAGGGATCCTTAAGGAAAATAAGAAATACAAGGAAGCGTATACTTACAATAAGAAGGAGATTGCTGAAATCTGATGAGACAGAGAAATAGTAAAATTTGATTTACAGAAACTATTCAGAGATAGATGTCCTTAGAAACAAAAAAATATAGAACTGATATTAGCTGAGCATGGCAGAAGGTCACATTTAAGGAGCACCCACTGAGGATGAATATCTTTGCAGTAAGAATGGTCAGCTCATCTAGGCTGATAACGTTTGTTCCATGATACCACACACGTTCATATATAATAAACCTAGCTAAGTGTGGTACAAGGCCTGAAATACGAAGCACGCGCTGAGAATGGAATTCGTTCAGTAGGGATGGGCTGCTTGGCTGCTCCATGACACGATCCACATATCGACATTTCCCAAGCCTATAGATGTTTATGGCACAAGAACATGAGTATAGAGCACCCATATCTAATCTCCTATATAGTAGTGATTGCGGAATGATCTCTTCACCTCAAGCAAGGCGATAAAGCCTCTAAGACGCATGAGGTTTTACCTGACAAATAGGAGTGGTAAAAGGATAACAGTTATTTAGAGGAATAGAAGAAAGTTACTTCTGAAATCTATGATCGCCTACATCCTGAGAAAACATGGCCTATAAAAGATCTTCATTGTTGTTGTTTTTTTATGCTTTAGCCGGTGAGCACCGAACTTTCTTAATATGGTGTTAAAGTTCTCAGGCTAAAAAAGGATTTCACGAATTTATATAAAAGGAAGATAACTGCCTCAACCTAATGGTTATTTATTAAATAAGTGCATGGATTAATTCAGTTAATCCCCATTTAAGCTGTTGATTATTCTGTATGAAATGTTTTTGAAAATAAAAATACAAGCCTCCAAAAATCAAACAATTTCAGGTGTCAAAAACGTTTTCGTGTTTTCAGCTGTCCTCAAATTTAATGATTTGACAATAAAATAATTTCAAGGGAATTTTCTTTTCTTTTCTTTTCTTTTTCTCTCTCTGTTCGTAATTTTTAGTTTCTACGAAAAAAAAAAACAACAAAAATTAATTGTCTCTTTCTAAGTTCAAATAAAACATTTGCCTTTATGATCATTTGTTTAAAAAACATCGAACGGGCGTTTTAGCGCTAATAAAAAAAAAAGGTATGGATGCATTATGAGTTAGTCGAGGAAATGAGGCTTTTTTGTTGATTTTATTGCTTTTAACACAATGAATGCCTGTGATGTTTTTTCTAAACGTTGAAAAGGTCACGCTAACCAGAGATAGATAGATAGATAGATAGATAGATAGATAAGAGTGAGGGATAGAGAGATACATAACTATTAAGATACATAGATAGATAGATAGATAGATAGATAGATAGATAGATAGATAGATAGATAGATAAGAGTGAGGGATAGAGAGATACATAACTATTAAGATAGATAGATAGATAGATAGATAGATAGATAGATAGATAGATAGATAGATAGATAGATAGATATAAGAGTGAGGGATAGAGAGATACATAACTATTAAGATACAAAGATAGATAGATAGATAGATAGAGAGATAGATAGATAGATAGATAGATAGATAGATAGATAAGAGTGAGGGATAGAGAGATACATAACTATTAAGATAGATAGATAGATAGATAGATAGATAGATAGATAGATAGATAGATAGATAGATAGATAAGAGTGAGGGATAGAGAGATACATAACTATTAAGATACATAGATAGATAGATAGATAGATAGATAGATAGATAGATAGATAGATAAGAGTGAGGGATAGAGAGATACATAACTATTAAGATAGATAGATAGATAGATAGATAGATAGATAGATAGATAGATAGATAAGAGTGAGGGATAGAGAGATACATAACTATTAAGATACATAGATAGATAGATAGATAGATAGATAGATAGATAGATAGATAGATAGATAGATAGATAATAAGAGTGATAGATAGATAGATAGATAGATAGATAGATAGATAGATAGATAGATGTTAAGAGTGAGAGATAGAAAGATAGATAAGTATTAAGATAGATAGATAGATAGATAGATAGATAGATATTAAGACTAAGAGATAGAAAGATAGATAACTACTAAGAAGATAGATAGATAGATAGATAGATAGATAGATAGATAGATAGATAGATAGATAGATAATTATCAAGAGCGACAGATAAATAACTATTAAGAGCGATAATAGATAGATAGATAGATAGATAGATAGATAGATAGATAACTATTACGAGTGAGAGATAGAAAGATAGATAACTATTAAGATAGATAGATAGATAGATAGATAGATAGATAGATAGATAGATAGATAGATGTGTATGTGATCACAAAATAATGTCTCTCCTTCGTTAATTACAACAGTTTTAATCATAGAAACACAAAAGGCATACAAAAATGGACACAAATGTCATAGCGTTCGAAATGTTGGCAACAATCATACTTTCCTTCCTTCCCAATTGTGATGCAAGGGCCGGTCAAAAAATAATGTCTATTCTTATTTAATTACAACTGTTTTAATAGAAGAAACGCGTAAATTATGTCAAACTGAACTTAACAACTCAGAATACCAAATCCAGTCCTCAAAATAGTTTTATTCCTTCCTAAGTACGACATAAGGAACTATCAGAAAATAGCAATGTTTAACCTTTATGCCCCCCAAAAAATCCCTATAAAGTAGTTTCATTATAAACAAGCATTGCGAATATTTAACCACAGAAACAATGATTTTGCTGGATACATTCATTGCAAATAATTCTATTACATACTGACAAGTTGAACAATCTAAGATGGCCACCCAGCCAACACTACTTGCAAGCGGTCTTTTTTATACGGTGTGAAAGTTGCAGCAAACATAGGCGAAGAATATGATTAAGATTCTTCTTAGGTTGCCCACACTAGAGGGCATTTAATATTCATGATTTTCAAAGTGTGTCTCAACTTTTTTTCAGGGCAGTTAAAAGGCCACTTGCGAGTACAGATTGCCAGGTGGCCATCTTAGATTGTTCAACTTCGAAAAATGTCCGCAGCATAAAACAAATCGTCAATGTTTAACTTTCATACCTGTCAAAAATATGTGTCAAAAGGATGGTTAGTCACTTGACATTACGATGACTGTATAGACTTTTGACTCCCACGGCAATGTTTATTGTTTTAAAAAGCGATGATTAAAATTTTGATAAAGCCCAAACGTATTAAAGTCGATTTATACAGTTTCTGCATTTTTGAGATTTGACAATAGCTCATTGATATGTTTATAAAATCTCTATCTATAAAAGGCAGGATGTGTGTGTGTAACGAATGCACAGTCGCAATTTTCAACGGATTTGCACCAAAATTTACATGCACATGCTCCAAGTTAGTGGAAAGGCCAAGACCGACGTTGCATTTCCAAACTCCCATCGATAGTGGAAATAATCGATTTTTTTCATGCTTCTACAGCAGTTTTTATGTAGTTTGCGGCCATTTTCTACTGGCCAGAGTGAGAGCCTATAGCTGGCTGCCACGAATAGGCAGGAAGATTCTATTGGCCAGCGTGAGAGCCAACAGCTGAATGGCACGAATGTTAACTAGCATGCAAAAAAATCGATAGCTGCATTCGTCACAAGTGGGAAAAATTTAAATCTACATGGCACTTTACTCCAATTAGCTCATTCGCTTGCTTAAATTCAACGTTGATTCTGATTCCGCAGAACTGGGTTGGGCGTGAAAAAGTATTTTTTGTTAACATTCTTTTTTCATTCGGTTTTTCCAGTTACGAGTCCTTTTTTAAAGCTGATCGTTTTGTGTTCATTTTGTTTAGTTCTTTTTTCGTAACAGATTTAATGTTTAGTATAGAGCTTAGAAAAAATTGCAGTGTGAGATAGACAAGAAGTAAGGCATGTAGCAACATCAGCACGGCAAAGGGCACTCCTTTAAAGGCAAGGAAGGGCAAAAATAGTTTAAGTCAAGTGATAGCGATTGCTGTATGAGTCGTACGATTTTTGAATCAAGTACGTGCAACGCCGGGCCATGCTGTTAGTTATAAATAAAAATTTAGTTTTCAGAGTTATTTAGAAAATGGTAAATAATATAGATTGCATTGTAGTTCGTTTACATATTTTTATTTATTTTGTTTATTTATTTATTTCATTTACTTATTATTTATTTTATTTATTTTAAATTATATTTATTTTTATTTATTCGTTTTGTAATTTTTCATAATTTTTTTAATAAATGGTATTCTTTTCAAATTATTTCTTTATAAAATGGAAAATATTAAATCTTTATAAAAGTTAAATGATAGATACTCCGTTGTACTTCGTTCTTTTATTACAGGAATCCCTCTATTACAGAGGCTAATATGTATATCGGTAACTATAAAAAAATCAATTTTCAATTACTATGGTTAAAGCGAAACATGTTTTACTGCACTAATCGAGTATGATGTATGCACTAATCAAATTTTGGTATATAAAAATTTTAGCGCACTAATCGAAAATGCATTAATCAAATACGCATTAATCGAGGGATGCCCGTATTATGATCTTGTAAATAGGCATTGCCAAGGGAGTAAAGAGTGTTTACAATAATAGCAGTGTCAAAAGAATAACGATTCTTTTGACATACACCGTTGTGCTAATTAATTCAAACAAAACGAATAATTCTGTTATTATATTTTTTCTCGTATTTTCCCAATAAGACATGACCCAGTGCATATGTTAGTATTTAGTATGTCCAGTCCACGAAGTCGTTCCTCGCAGATTGACCACAGATTCTCGACTGGATTTAAATCAGGAGAGTTTCCGGGCCAATCTATGGTACGTTGATTTGCTCACTGGTAAGACTTGCCAGTCTGTTCATGCAGCGTTACAATTTTCGTACGCTTCCTTGGAGTAACGCCCATCGCAGACAATGGCCGTAGGACAACTAATCGACATTCGAGACAATAGTGTTTGGGCGTGATGAAAATCTGGTACAATCACGGATGACGCAATATTTTTCAAGGCCAAACAAATTCCGTCATACACCCCGAAAATAGATTCATATTACTGAATACTAATGCAAATGACTTAATCCGAGGAAAAAATGGAAATCGATTACATTTTGTCACTGCAGTATGTCTTAAACTGACCGCATGATGAAAGAAAGGAAACTAAAGTGTTTGTTTCAATTAATTTACACAAGGGTTTACTTATTTTCCCGTGCATGAAGGTTAAACATTAAGTTCTAATTAAAAGCTTCTTCCTTCGTAATCTTGGTACAGGAGTCGGGCAAAGATAATATATATATATTCTTAAAAGGGAAAAACTTGTAGTTCCAACGAATGATTTATTTTATGGAAATATTTCGACTAACAGATGCCAGTCTTGGTCATTCCTTAATTTAAGTAAAACAAGTGCAAAGAAACTAGAAACGCTTAAGAATTCAAATCAAGGAAAAAAAAAACCCGAGTTGATGACGTTTACAACGTGTTATACCAGAACATTACCTATTCTATTGTAATAGACTCTCCCACAGATAATAAGTAGTAGTAGCAGTGGCCAGTTGAGCTCCGTGGAGTTGAGTGAGTCAGTCGATGTCGGACATTAAAGTATCAACCACCCCAACTAGATTGCTGCGTCATTAACTATTATTTGAAGTTCCTAACGTTTTGTACGTCGGACCCTTTTAGGACCGACTTAGTGAAATACAAGCCTCCACTGTGAAAACTACTCTACAACACAACGTAATAGCAAGTTGAGGCGTAAAAAAAAAGGAATTTTGGTTTTACTCTGTCATTTGTTTTTTTGTTTTTTTTTTTTTTTTGTCATATCATATTTTTCTTTGGAGCAGAGAGGTCCAGACACGATGGAGATGTACTGCATCTATCCTATTGCAAGCATTTTTTGTATTTGCTATTACCATTTGTTCAGCTACACTTCTTTGATTGAAATGTTTTTGGTTCGTTAATTTTATTTCCGGATGGTCGAAATCACTTCTGTGACCTTCTGTAATGGCTTGTAATGTAATCGCTGAAGTTTTTCCAGTTTTTGTTTTTCATTTTTGTTATGGTCCAGGTTAGGACCAAGGAAGAACAACACGAACACAAGAGTAGAAATAACGAAGGTATATTACACGAAATAATAATATAAGATGTGGAAGGCGTTAGAATGACTGTCAGTCTCGGCTCGACTGGATTCAGTAACTAGCCACGCCCCACGAAGGTTGCATATGGCACAAGGGCGAGTTTAACGTGAGTTTCCGAGCCCGTAGGCTCGGCCAAAAATGCCCGTAGAACCCGTATAAACGGGATCGGGTTGGTCAACCTCCCCGAAAGAGACACTGCCCTTCGGCGGAGCCTCGTCCGGGTTCCTCTCTGCTCAGAGGCAGAGAGTTCGACCGTCAAGTCAAGAAGGTCGACTTGATTCGCATATCAGCCACCCCCACGAGGGTTGCATGTGGCACAAGGCCGAGTTTAACGTGGGTTTCCGAGCCCGTAGGCGCGGCCAAAAAATGCCCGTAGAACCCGTATAAACGGGATCGGTTTGGTCAACCTCCCCGAACGAGACTCTGCCCTTCGGCGGAGCCTCGTCTGGGTTCCTCTCTGCTCAGAGGCAGAGAGTTCTACCGTCAAGCCGAGAATGTCGGCTTGATTCGGTAACTAGCCACCCCCAACGAGGGTTGCATGTGGCACAAGGCCGAGTTTAACGTGGGTTTCCCGATCCCGTAGGCTCGGCCAAAAAAAATGCCCGTAGAATCCGTATAAACGGGATCGGGTTGGTCAACCTCCCCGAACGAGACTCTGCCCTTCTGTGGAGCCTCGTCCGGGTTCCTCTCTGCTCTTAGGCAGAGAGTTCGACCGTCAAGCCAAGAAACTCGGCTTGATTCGACCCT